AAGAGTGGCATAACAACAGCCATAATTGGCAAAGAGATGATAAAATACATATATATATTTGCTTTAAGTAAAAAGAAAAAAAGACTTTTAAGTCACTGTGTTACATGCATTTTAATGGTATTTTGCTAGAAACAGCATTGTAAGAAGCTGAATTAAGAACTAGGTAATTAAAACTACACTCAAGCCTAAGCTGCATGAATATCGGTAATTGCAGATTAATATTCCACTGTAATACTTATGGCTGAGTTAAAGTTGCCATGGGAAACAAGCCTGAATTTCTTCACTTTTCAGCAACTCATGATCACCTTCAATAAAGGTTTTGGCAGGTGATTTCTAGTGCATTGAGCTTAACAGCCACACAAAAATGGTATGAGAAGAAAGCTGCTATGTGGGGATGTCCAGATAGAACAGACAGGCACATGTCCTTTATCTGCCTCTGGGTAGGATTGTGACCACGTCTGTTACTGTGGGAGACACCTTCTGCATTCCCATCCCGGCCTTCAGCTAGGAATGACTTGACGCAGGCTCTGCAGGAAACCACATGGAAGGCATGCAGAAGGTACCTTGCAGCCTGCTTCCCAGCAGACCAGCAGTCTCTCCATCACCTCCTCCTGCAGCAAGTTTGTGATTTCAGGGACGTATTCCTCCTACAAAGTAGCGTCGGATACGGCTCCCAAGGCAGCTTCCCTATCATCTATCTAGTCACCCCGCGCAGAGAGCCCGGCAGGGACTGCACATCTGTTGCTATGGCCTAAATTTGGTGGGAATCAACATCCATTCCCCTCACAAGGTCAGTCTATAAATCACAGTATCTCAGGAACAGAGACACAGGATTCAGTTGTCCCTGCCATGGGAACAAGACCACAGGTAGAGCAGTACAGGCAGGGATCATCACAGCCACTCCAGCTGCACCTGCCCGTGACTGCGGGCTGGAACTGCAGGACAGATGTTCAGGGGAAAACCCCTGCAATGCTCAAGGAAACAAAGACTGGACATGCTTTAACCTTCTCCTGCATTTGTACTTAATATTATCTTACAGAAACACTGGCTTCCATTTGTTAATGCACTTTTGCCAGTCATGAAATGTACTCTGATCATCCAGATTTGTTTGTACACTTAAAAGTAACTTAGTAACTGAACATATGCTTAGTCACAGTCTCAGTGTTTACAGTTTTATGTTGAAATGGTGAGTGATGTTTTGTATTTATTAGTATGTCCAGTTTCATCTGACAGCAATTAGAATTACAAATTCTCCCAAAATAACAATCAAAATGCAAGCTGAACAAATTTGAAATATGTAGGATAAACTAAAGAAAAATATCAAGATACTTTTGTATTTAAAATGCACTGTTTAAGAGAACACAGAAAGTACTGTCTGTAAACAATTTGTTCTTCTGCCTCTGGTCACAACCTTCTTTGGCAATGAGAAGATCTGAACACTTCATATTTTCCTTTTACAGAGAGTTTGAAAGGCAAATTTCTGATTCCCAACTGATTATCAAATTTGAGTGAATCCTAGACACTGAACGCAAGTACCTGAAAAAATTGACATGAGAAAAAGCAACTTCATCATTACCAAAAGTTCATTTAGCAGTTTAGCAACTCCTGGATCCAGCTCCTTCCTCCAGGTCAGGGGTCTGATGCTCTTTTACACTTCCAGGCAGCAGACATACAAAGCTTGTATTTTATTTGATTTTCATTTAAGTGGTTTTACTAGATTATAGTAGAGATTAACATCCTATATAGAAGGCTAATTTCAAAATCATCTTTGAATAGACCTGATCTCTACCTTCGGACTTTTTTTATTAAAAAAAAAACCAACCACCTCTTTTCATCCACTCTGCTGAAGTTGAAGGCAAGGTACTTGGCTTGCTGACCGAAAGAGGCACACCCTCTTACTGCATTAATAAAACAAGGTTACAGGCAGCCATGGATCTGAGCCTGTGGAGCTGCTTAATACAGTCACTGAAAGCACTGACCACCATAAACACTGATGTATACAAGGACAAAGGGACAAAAGAGCAAGATGCTCACTTATTAATGCATCTTCTCATGAAGCTAAAGCATCATATGTACCCAGCTCTATGGGCTGACAGTGTATAAAAGCAGAAGATACTTATAAACTCTTAGCAGACAGTAAAGGAGAAAACTCAGAGCTGAAAAATGAAGCACACCAGCACCACCATGGTTCAGGGTCCACTGACTCTGCACAATGACAGCTCCCACCTGACCCCACTGGGCTCTGGATCACATTCCAAAGGCACAAGGTAAGCTTTAAAGACATGCAAGGGGTCAGCCATAAACATCTCTTACTACCAACCTCTAATGACCTCTGGCTGGCTAAAACACTATATGACACAAGACTGTGCAGTTAGTCCCACCCTCCCCACTTCTCTTCTCTCTGGCGTGGTCCAATTATTCATAAATACATGCCAAAAGCCAACACAGCCAAGTGGTTTCTATGTGTATAAACCTGCACTTTGATTTAGGAGTGTATCTGCTGAAAGCTGTCACAAGGGCTGCAAGGATGCTCCCATTCCTTTGTGGGTGTAGGGCAGGGAACATGAAGGCCCCTCGATGCCTGACCCAGGAGCGGTGAAGCAGAGGGCAGTGGCCACAAGGCACTGCCAGCAGTCCCAGCCACTGGAGCCACAATGCAGACAGCTTCCCAGGGGAATACCACCATCCTTGACCCTCCTTGATCCCCATTACAGAGGCCATACCACGAGACCTCAGAGAGATTGGGCAGTGTGAAAGGGAATGGAAATGAAGGCGTCTTCAGGGCTCACCGCTGAGCATGAAGGACTTCCCCAGGGATAAAGCCAGTGAGAGTGCCGGTTGCAGAAGAGCATGAGTAAATACAGCAGGAGGGGGAGCAGATGTGGCAGTCACACATCTTAGTGTAGATAAAAAGATAGCTCTTTCAGTAGTTTCTTGTAAGAAGCCAGAATATTTAGAAGAGCAGTTAGTGAAAAATGTGAAGTGTGCTGCATGGTGGCAAGTGCACTCTGCAAGACTTTTAGGCTGAGCTGGCTAAATTTACAGCTATGCCTACCCACTTAAAGTAACCTGAATCACAGCTTAGCTTAACTCTGTACATGCAGCTTCCTCATCAAATTCCAATGCATTTGAATTTCATTGTATCTAGACTTCTATTTTGCAGGTATTAAAAGCAGAAAAATTAGCGGGATCACAGTGAAGATCAGCACCTCACCATCCCCAGCTCTCAGGTCAAAACCTCTAAAACCTGTCTGCCACTACGCCAGTGAAAGATCCTGCCAATAAAACCTTGCAGAAAACATCACTGAAATACATGGCACAGTTTGCTCACCATGACATACAGCCTACCAGTGAAGAGGACAAAAGCCATGATGGTCAGCAAAGAGATAAGAGGTAGATAGGAGCATCAACTAACATCTCATTTTATAAAGTTACCCAACTGGCAGGCACTTTCAGCCTTTCCAGCTACACTGAGCCCCATGTAGCAAAAGTAATTTCTTTATTTGTCAAACTAATTTGCTGGTGAGGCTGTGAGGGACTGACAGCCCTTTCCACACATTATATGATGCAGACAGGCACTGAACACAGCAGACTGGAAAAAAAAAAACACTGAAGAACATCTCTACCTTAAAGGTGCTATCTCACCAACAAAATATATAGCAGATCTGCATTGGCCCAGACCATTACTTTCCCTGGCAAGGACTTGGGGACAAAGCTCCTTAAAACAGTAGTAATCATATTCCACTCATGCTCCTTTTTACTGCCAGCTGTAAACTAGCTCCACATGCATCATGGTTTTGCATCAAAATGTGCACAGACCAAACCCATATCCAAAGGGACAAGGTAGATCCAATTTACAGCTTTGACAGGTCTGTGCACCCGAGGCGGAGCATCCAGGAAATAGCCTGACATCTCACTTGGAGAGCAGTTAAGACCCTGCTACCAGAACTGGATGCAGAGCCACAACAGCCTCCCACAAAGAGCCAGCAAAAGAGCTGGGAATTTGATGTCCATTTTTCAAGAAACATAAGAGGCAGGCGGCACTCACCAAGGCTCTACTGGGGAAGAGAGGAGTCAACTTCAATCCCAACTTGCAGCATCCCTTAGCTAGGACAAGCCCAAGGGAAACCACAGCTGCAGTGGGAAATGAATACACTGCATCGAGTCACTTCAGTAATGAGACACCACACTGAAAACTGCTTAAGCCTTTCATGGTTAAAACAAAGCAAAAGGAACTTATTCTAACCCACTGCAATAAATGCAGGACAATTGCTTGGCAGGGGGGGTAAGTTCAATTTAGACTCAAAAATTCTGTTTGTTCACTATCAACCCAATATTAGGGTTTTTTTCTATTTAGTACAGTTTTCCAATTTGAATGGAAAACCTAGGCTCATCCTGCTGACAACTGAAAATATATTTACTAATATGGTCTACACTACTATGGAAGAACTGCCTGCAAAAAAACCTCTGTACTTCATCTGGATCTCTGTATGTCTCAAGTGGCAGAGCACTGGAAGCTCTCTCTGAAGGTGAACTCTTCCTGTCTCATCACACTCCAGAGTTAACACCCAGGCAAGATATCTGATCTCACTGAAATTATCTACAAACACCATTATGTTGCACATATTCCTATAATTCAAAATATTCTCTTCCTAAAGCTGTTCACTACAAACAGCCAGTTTCCTTGCAGAATCAAACAAGGCTGCCATCTTCTAATGCAAGTTCCCAGCCAGAAATTTTTAGAGCCTCCCCAATTAAGACAGATGACAATTATACATGACCTAAAGATGTTTTCGATAACACATGAATTGTGACTTCCTTGATGGAAATCAGCCTCCTTCATTCATTCCCACCAAACAGTCTGGCAAGAGTCCTGGAGAACCAGCAACAGAAGGTGGGACAAACCAGAAAAAATGAGTGAGCCAGCACTGTGCTTTTTCCTTTTACCTCTCAGAACATGAGTAGCAACTTGCAAGGGGATAATTAACAGGACTATTTACCTGAGGATGAATCTGTGGTTTATCACACGTAGCCTCAAAATCCAGCACTAAGAAGTAGTGATATCTCTGTGGAGGGAAGGATGACATTGCTGCCATGGAAGCTCCAAAGCCGTGGGACGCCAGTTTCCTGCTTACGATGGAGCTGTACCCTTTGAGAACACCAGCCAGGAGGGGGGACACAGCTTGTCTTGCCCTTGAAAGTAAGTTTTGGGAAAACTTTGCTGCTCCAGTATGGAGGAATGCTATCATTGAACATCCAGAGGCATCTGAAACTGAAGAGAGACTCACGTTACTCATGTACACATACATCTCATCTCTCCTAGTATCTGCTCACTGTCCTCCTCTGACAGGGATTTCCTCTGTGCTTCCCAGTGGAGGTTCCAGCATTGCAAACCTGAAATAACACAGTAACCTGCTCTAAGCACAACAGATGACATTTGGACTGAGCTTAGGGTGTCCAGAATCACAGGTAACTGAAAATTAACTTCTGCAAATGGCTCTAAACTAAGAACTATGAGACACACAACAGTCATGGTTCCAGGAACCAGATCACACCTGACTACTGAACCTTATCACAGCAGAACACAGCAAAAAACAATTAAAACACAGAAAATCTAAGTCCCATTGAAATTACTGAGGAGGCCTTTCATCTTTTCATATACAATGCAGTGTCTGATACATGGCAGGAATTAAATACAGCAATACACATATCAACACTACAACCCATCCAAACAGCTTGGTCCTGAAACACCTGTCAGCTGCACCAAAACATCCCACTTCTATTACAAATCCAAGTGTCTGGTAGCTGGATGCTCTTACCCAGGGGAAGTTCTGATTTGCTCTGTGTATGAGGTTTCTCAGAGATGTGAATTTAGTTCTGCACTCCATCTCTTCCTTATTTCTCAGAGGAAAATATCAGGTCAACTAACCACATCCAGGGACTGCAAAAACTGTAAAATGCAAGCATGACTCTACAGGTTACAGTCTCCCTCTCGGAAAAATACCTCACTCAGCCATCACCTTTTGATATTTCTATTTAAATGCTATTTAATAAATTACATTATCTATACGAGGCTATCTGTATTTCCCCTTCTACTCTTTTTCTTTTAAAACTTTGCAAGAAAAACTTGCCAGGACTGTCACTATCCAAGGCAGGTCGGACTCAGGGCTGTTAACAGATCTCTAGGGAGGAAGTTCAAGCCCAACCCATGGTGTTACATAGATGGGTACAGTGACTGATAGCGAAACAAGCTAATTGCAACAGCTCAATCCTCTTGAACAAGGATATGTTGTGTATGCATATATGTCTGTGTGTGTATATATATTAACACACATACACACACATCTCACCACACAGATATTTAAATTTATCCCCGCAGTTGGTCCCACTGCTCGTGGCTCTGGGAAGAGCTCCATGCCACCACATGCCACCCACATGCCCTTTTCCTGAGCCTGGTCTCCCCACACCTGTGCTGGCTTTTTGCTCTGCCGTGAAGGGCTGCAAGTGCCCACCACAAGGCATGGAGACAAAACAGGCACGGCAAAAAGGGGACTCACCACTCATGAACAAAGTCACTGTTTGCATAAAAGACAGCATTTGCTCTCTCCCATCCGTTAGTCCATCAGGTAAATAATGCACGTGCCAAAACACACACTTAATGAGGTAAATAATATGCCTTGAATAACAGCTAAATCTGTATTTACCTGCGAGACCACAGAAACTCAGAAGGACCAGATTAGGAGATAATTGCAGCTAAGCAGGTTGTGTGCTTCGAGTAAACACGCATTTGGTAACCTTCCCTTTCCAAGGTTTTGAGTGAAAGGCAAAAATCAAAGGAGCTGAGATGTTTAAGACCAAGCCAGTGCCCACACTGCCAATTCTATGGTGTATATGCATCCCTGCCTTAAGGCTTTCATGTTTTGGGGGGCTGCTTTCTTTATTAACGCAGTGTGCCAGGCAGCAGGTACCTGGACAACTGAAAACTCAAGCTGCAAAACTGAAACAAAGAGCCCAACGTGGCATTTATTTTAAAGGGGCTCAGTTCTACCAATTGCCTCTCCATCTACAGCTTTGGCTGTCATTCATAAATGCATTACTGCCAAATAGAAGTTAGTTATATTCACTTCTAACCTGTGCCAGATAAGAGATATTTAAGGTATACATGCTTTAAATCTTCAAGCTACTGGCTATGAATCTAAAGGCCCATCACAGTAAATATAGTATCTCAGATTAAAGCAGCTTGTAAGTTAGTTGCAGTAAAACCTGGTCTTTAGCCTACTGCATAAAGCAAAATACACAGTTGGAGTGGGGGAGGCAGGCATGCTCCAACCCCTATATCAAACACAGGCAATAAAACATACATTATCCACCCACCCACAGCAAGATCAATATTTCTCTAATGTATCTTAACTGGCAAGACCAGGGTTATCTGACACGGACCCCACGAATCTTCAGGCTGGGCTGCACCACACACTGTGGGGCAGAGATTCCCGAGCCACTGAGTCCACATAGCAAAGGTAAACCAGCCCTCTTGGCAGGATTCAGGCACGTCAGCAGGCAGACAGGGCAGCACCACTCCAGACCCCAGCAGGTCTGTGTCACACAGGTACCCTGCAGCAGCAGCAGAGGGAAATAACAGCCAACAGCCAGTGCCTGTTTACACTAACAACTTCTGCAGAGGTTCATGTCTAGCAACAGGATCAGGCTCCCCATCCTAAAAGCAGCCTCTCTCCCATGTAGCAGAGGGAGCAATGCTCTGAACAAAGGTGTGAGTGGGGTATAGTAGAGCGATTTCCCTACTCAGGCAGCATACAAATAAGGGCAACCCCACTGCAAACTCTGCACCTTCAGCCAAATGAAGTTTTAACGGCATGTTTACCCAGCCACTGCTCTGAGTGCCCTGGGAAGACCTCACATCATCTTCTTTGGCAAGGTCAGAGTGCCCCAGAGCACAAGATAGCTGGTGAGCAAACACACTTTATTAGAAGTCATGTAAAGCATTTATAATGCTTTTACTAGTGCTAGGACAATGCAAAGCACTAGTAATTATCTCGTATTTTTTCCAATAGACAACGATGCAAGCAAGGCAGCTTCAAAAATTAAAAAACCAGCTCTATCCATATAAATCCACATGTTCAGTGATTCCATTTCCAAACCTACATAAACCATCACATATATTTCTTATGCACACAGGATCAGATTATAATCTCAGACAGTGCAAGCTGTCACATCTGGCAGTCAACCCTACTAGGTTAATATTTCATATCACACAGCTCAAATTCCTCACACAGATACGTATAAGATGTAACGGGACCATGAACTGAGGTTAGACCTCAGGAATTATTTTGACAGATTGTACACAGACCTAGGAAAATGTGACAGCACTTTACATTTGCTGCACCCAGTAAGATGGGAAATGGCCACATGTGGTGGGCTTCAGCTGGAAGATAAAGTTTGTGTTCTGTACTGTATAACAGCTTGTGTTCCATGTGATAGTACTTTGTATAGTCACCATCTGTATTTTAAAAAATAATTAAAAAAAAAGAAAATTATTCTCTGGACATCAGCCGCAGGTACAATCCCAGGCTGACCACAGCTCTTGCTTCTTAGCAGTCCAGGCACATGGTACTAAAGCACAACAGTTTGATCACCAGCAAGTAAGCAAAGCCAAGTGCCAGCTGCAGCCACCAGCTTTGCCACTTTGCCAGGGGCCCCACTGAGTGTGAAGAGGAGAATCTGCACCGGCGGCTGCTGCACGCCAGGCTTCCTGCTGGGAGAGCTGCTTAGGGACAACCAAAGTGGCCAGGATCATGATAGGGGACTCCTGCCCCGTGAAGAATGCTGGTGACAAGAGCCAGCAGGGCATTGCAAGTGCTTTCCCCTGCCTGTAGGACAGCCTCAAAGCCACAGAGAGAGATGTGCACCACACAAGTTCCAGAGGATTCAAATTCATCAACAGCAACACAAATTAGCCTACAAACTTGAGTTTAATGGTTCTTTGCACATAACAGAAATATGAACTTTTTAGAACCACATCTAATTAAAATCACAGCTTGCCTTTAACCTCAAAATATTCCCCTTCACTGTCCAGTTTGATAAGATGAGTAGGGAGGGGGCAGGAAGACAACACATAACTGCAGGATGGAGGGGTGACCCAACAAATTACATGTTTTATCAGAGTCTTCACTTACATGTTAAATTACGTTGTTATGGCAATACAGGCCTCCACCATTTTACAAAATAAACAAACAAACAAACCAAAGCAAAATAACCCCCCCCCACTAATCTAAACAAGAAGACAAACTGAAATTAAAAAATAAAAGCAAACAAGCTCTGGGAGTAAAACACTTCAGTTTATTATTTGTGCAAAGCCTTAGTAGGGGCAGTTGTGCCTCCTGGCCTCCAACAGACAACTTAGCTCAATTCTAGAGCAACAAAACCAATCAAAAATGTAAGTCAGGTTTGTCTATTTTATTAAATTGTAAAAAGATAGGGTAATAGAGATGCTTTTGATAGAACAAAATTGCATACATTTAGCAACATCTGGAACACAGTATAACAAAAAAACGCAGGACTTCAATTTTGGTAGCTGTTCAAATGCATACTCAGAGGTCAAATGTGAGCCCATATTTCACTTGCGTGAAGATATAACTGAAGAACAATAGAGATAACTCAGATTTTTTTTTTAAATCAACCTTAACCTAAACCCAAATATTTCATTAGATGAACTACAGTCCAAAAATGACAGCACCTGGCTAGCCTGTGAGGCAGGAAACGAGAAACAAGACCAGCTTATCCACTCTCACCATCCAACCTTGCAAAAAAAAAATAAACACATAAAGTAAAACAAACAACAAAAGACAAAGCTTTTAGAACCATTTAATAAAGTAACACAATTTTAGACAGGTAAATCTGCATCTTTAATTTGTTAACCTCACAGCACCATCTCTTGAACATGAAAACAGTACAATTCCATGGCTGCACTCCCTTCACGTTTGGCTGGGTTTGTCTCCGGCACTGCTAGACAACCAAGCCTGTGTTTTGGAAAATTTGTAATGTAACTTTCCCAAGGCATTGCCACGTCATGCCTATATGCTGCCCCATCATTACTCAGCTCAGATACAGCTTGGCATCCATCGTTTTGTTTTTACAGCACTCCACAATCGCACCCAGGCTCTTCCCACTACAGACGAAGAGGTCCCTGTTCTCAAGAACTTACAGTCTAAAATTAGAAGCAATACAACAAGTGAGGTGAACAGCAGAGAAGAATGA